GGCCCAGATGCTCAGAGACATGCACGAGGGTAGGACAGGCCCAGGGCTCTTTGATGAGCTGCGTACCGCCACCGACCTCGCTCTCCGGGCGACGAAGGTGACCGCGCACTCCCTGGGTAAGGTAATGTCCACAGCCGTGGTCCAGGAGAGACACCTGTGGCTGAACCTGGCTGACATGGAGGATGCCGAGCGGTCCCGGCTGCTCGACACCCCCATGCCCCGCCGACCCGCTGCTGCCTCCACCCAGTCGGCCGGGCAGGTCACTCAGTCTGTTCGCCGCCGAGGACGCCCTCCTGCGGCTCCCGCCCCTCCCACCCGGCCCAAGTAGCAGCCTTCACCTGGGCCCGGTCGTGGAGGAAGCCGCGATTCCGATGTTGACGGTTACTTCTCAGGAGGTGGTAGCAGGACCACTCCTTCCCCCGGTGGAGGGCCGGGGGAGAATTTTTTTGGTCTCCACTCCCCGCTGCTCACCCCCGGGTGGGTAGCACCCCAATGTGGTTAAAGAAAGAAGTAACATGTCCATCCCTGAGCACACAGAGTTCTCGGACGGCACGGAGCGCCGCCCCCGGGCCGTGCTCCCCTCGTCCTCCTCTGTCCCAGAGCGGGATGACAGTGCGCACTGTCCCCGGACCGTGCCGCTCTCATCCCTCTCTGTCGCCAGCCCCCTGGCAGAGCAGACCCCCGTGGAACGTTCGTCCTTCCCTGGTCTGCTCTGTCAGGGCGTGGTCAATGACTGTGCCCCCACATCGGGCCGCTATGCCGTCCACGTCTGGGCCAGTCATTCCGCCTCGCTGCACCACCGGTGGGAAGTCTGTGGTTCGTATGACCCCGCTGGTACAGTCGTTGGGAGCCCTGTTGCCTTGGCTTTTGGCTTGCTTAGTTGGGGACATTTAACATTTAATATTCAATAATATTTTGTTATATTGTTATATTGTTTTTGTTATATTGTTTTCATGTTATCACTGTGAAGCGCTTTGATACAATCTGTATTGTAAAAAGCGCTATATAAATAAAGGTGACTTGACTTGACTTGGCTATAGCTTCCCAACCTGTCCCGCTGGGTCGCTCGGACGATCAGGCTCGGCTACGCGATTCAGTTCGCGCGGTCTCCTCCCCGCTTCAGGGGTGTCCGCTCCACTATGGTCGGTGGCAATGCCCCTGTCATGAGAGCGGAGATTGCTACCCTGCTGGCCGTAGGGTGCGATCGAGACTGTCCCTCCAGCCGAAATGAGGTCCGGCTTCTACAGCCCGTACTTCATTGTCCCCAAGAAAACCGGTGGGTTACGGCCAATCCTGGATCTGCGCATTCTGAACCGCTCCCTTCACAGGCTGCCGTTCAAGATGCTCACCGCCAAACGCGTTTTCGAATGTGTGCGGCACCAGGATTGGTTTGCAGCGATCGACCTGAAGGACGCCTACTTTCATGTCTCCATCCTCCCTCAACACAGACCGTTCCTGCGGTTTGTTTTCGAGGGGCAGGCATATCAGTACGCAGTTCTCCCTTTCGGGCTAGCCCTGTCTCCTCGCGTCTTCACGAAGGTCGTCGAGGCAGCCCTTGTTCCTCTCCGGGAATACAGGGTTCGAATCCTGAACTATCTCGACGACTGGCTGATTTTAGCTCACTCTCGAGATCAGCTTTGCGAACACAGGGACTTGGTGCTCCACCACATAGCCCGACTGGGCCTTCGGGTCAACTGGGAGAAGAGCAAACTTTGCCCCGTGCAGAGGATCTCTTTTCTCGGTATGGAGATAGACTCGGTCGCCATGTCCGCGCAGCTTACGAGCGAGCGCGCGCAGTCACTGCTGACTTGCCTGAGACAGTTCGACGGCAAGAGTGCGGTTCCACTGAAATGTTTTCAGAGGCTCTTGGGGCATATAGCATCTGCAGCCGCGGCAACGCTGCTCGGATTGCTTCATATCAGACCGCTTCAGCTTTGGCTTCACGACCGAGTTCCGAGGTGGGCATGGCAGCATGGCACTCTCCGAGTACCAGTTACTCTGACTTGCCGTCAAACCTTCACCCCGTGGTCGAACCTCAGTTTTCTACGGGCGAAGTGCCTCTGGAACGAGCTTCGCGGTATGTTGTTGTAATGACAGATGCCTCCAACACGGGCTGGGGGGCCATGTGCAATGGACGTGCTGCCACGGGCTCCTGGATAGGACCCCAGCGCCTATGGCACGTCAATTGCCTCGAGTTGCTGGCTGTACAGCTCGCCCTGCGCTGCTTCCAAGCCGTGCTCTGGGGCCAGCACGTACTAGTTCGATCAGACAATACCGCGACTGTTGCGTACATCAACCGTCAAGGTGGTCTGCGCTCCCGCCGTATGTCGCAACTCCCCCGCCACCTCCTCTTATGGAGTCAGAAGCATCTGAGGTCGCTTCGTGCCATTTATATTCCTGGAGCCCTGAACTGTGCAGACGAGCTCTCACGGTTTCAGCCCCTCCCTGGAGAATGGCGACTCCATCCCCAGTCGGTTCAGCTGATTTGGGACCAGTTCGGGGATGAACAGATAGATCTGTTTGCCTCTCACGACTCGACCCATTGCGCCCTGTTTTATTCCCTGACCGAGGGCACGCTCGGCACGGATGCACTGGCGCACAGCTGGCCGCGGGGCCGCAAATACGCGTTTCAGACCCTGCGCAAGGTCAGGGAGGACGAGGAGCAGGTCTTGCTGGTCGCGCGGTATTGGCCCACCCGAACGTGGTTCTCCGAACTTATTCTCCTCACGACAGCACCTCCTTGGCCCATACCTCTGAGGAAGGACCTACTTTCTCAGGGACGGGGCACCCTGTGGCACACTCGTCCCGATCCCTGAAGCCTCCACGTGTGGCTCCTGGACGGGACGAGGCAGGTTTGAGTACCCTACCACCAGCGGTGGTGGCTACCATCACTTCCGCTAGAGCGTCGTCCACGAGACACGTCTACGCGTTGAAGTGGAACCTCTACGTCAACTGGTGCTCTTCTCACCGAGTAGACCCCCGGAGATGTTCGATCAGCGTCGTGCTTACCTTCCTTCAAGATGGGTTGGAGCGAAGGCTGTCTCCCTCCACCCTCAAGGTCTATGTCGCCGCTATTGCTGCACAGCATGATCTTATAGAAGGTAAGTCGGTGGGGAAGCATGACCTGATCGTCAGGTTCCTGAGAGGAGCGAGGAGACTGAATCCTTCTCGCCCTCCTCTCGTACCCTCTTGGGACCTCGCAGTGGTTCTATCTGCCCTGCGGAGTGCTCCCTTTGAGCCTTTGCAGTCAGTCGAGCTTAACTTCCTGTCAATGAAGACAGCGCTTCTGACTGCATTGGCCTCCATCAAGAGGGTAGGGGACCTGCACGCATTCTCCGTTGACGAAGCGTGCCTGGAATTCGGGCCGGCTTACTCTCACGTGATCCTGAGACCCCGGCCTGGATATGTGCCCAAGGTTCCTACCACTCCCTTCCGGGACCAGGTGGTGAACCTGCAAGCGCTGCCCCCGGAGGAGGCAGACGCAGCCTTGGCACTGCTCTGTCCAGTACGTGCTCTCCGCATATATGTAGACAGAACGCAGTGTTTCAGGACCTCAGACCGGCTCTTTGTCTGTTATGGTGGGAAGCTGAAGTGAAAGGCTCTCTCCAAGCAAAGGTTGTCTCACTGGATAGTGGACGCCATTGCTTTGGCATACCAGCAGCAAGGTTGACTGTGCCCCCTTGGTGTGACCGCCCACTCCACCCGGAGTGTGGCGTCCTCTTGGGCTCTAGCGCATGGCGCCTCGCTAACAGACATCTACAGAGCTGCAGGCTGGGCGACACCTAACACATTCGCCAGATTCTACAATCTCCGAGTCGAGCCAGTGTCCTCTCATGTACTCGCTTCAACCAGCTATTACCGGACCCGCTCAGGTGTCTACGCTTGCTCGCCATTCCACTCTACGGACTGGATGCGTGCAATATTCTCCTCAGGTGAGCTTCTCCGAAAGCCCTGAGTTCCTCCAGCACTCCTGACGCTGGCGCCAGTGTCTTTTGCCTGCGTGTGCATGGTCCCTCCCCTGGGCGACCCCCACATGTGTATTTCCACTGTAAGCCTCTCTAAGCATGTGTCTTTCCCTTGGCAAGCCACCTTGCCACCCCTGGGGTTGAAATATTCCACCTGTGGCTGGACACCCCAGTGATTCCCCATTTGCATCCCTCGGGTCATATGTGTATTCTCTAAGTCCCCCCCTCTGGGTTGGCAGTAATTGCAAATTCCCCTAAAATCTTGGGTAATGCTCCCCAGTGTACCTTGGTATTCCTGTGCTAAATTGGAGTCCTTCGTCCGTGCCAGCTCACGACAGGGATCTCAGATTTACGCAGGGCACTGGAAGACAGCTGAGAAGGTGGCGTGATTAGACTGGTATCCCCATTCGTCGTCCTCCGACGGAACTCGGAGTGACAACGAAAGGGAACGTCTCGGTTACGGATGTAACCCTCGTTCCCTGAGTAGGGAACGGAGACGTTCCGTCTTCCTGCCACTTTCCGCTGTATGAGCTCTGAGCTCTGTCTTGGCTCCTCAGCGATTAAATATATCTGCATGTTGCGCCGTCTTCCGCTTTATACCCACGAGGTGGGGCGGAGATACGCTATGCAAATTCCGCAGACCCATGGCATTTCTTTGCCATTGGCTCGTTTTGTAATAGTCGAAGTTGATAGGCTTTCTATGCGAAAACCCCATTCGTCGTCCTCCGTGGCTTTTGTAGCCACTAAACTGAGATTTCTACACCCTTAGTTCTAGAGAAAATTCACTATAGCAACAACCCCCTGCTGCTACAGTTACGTTAATGAGAACAAATATTTTTACTTATAGTAGAGGTATCACATACCACTGGATTCATGTCCATTTCAATCTGTTGTTGTGGTTTTGTTTGTAATCTCCACTCAGACTGGCTCCTGATCTGCTCTGGTGTGTTCAGTCTCATGCTGTACGTTAACACATTGTTGCTGTGTGTTTTTCAGTGACCTTAATGTTTCCTCATCAACCGACACTGCAACATCAATACTTTCGGTTTCTTTATAAAGTGGGAAAGAAACTGGGATATGATGATCGTGTCCATGAAGGAATTAGAAGATCGGACGGCCAGAAAGTATGTTGCTCTTTCTCCACAAACAAACGTTTTGTCCCTTGTTTCCTTCTGTGAACCTTGAGTCTTGCCATAAACATCAGTGTTGACAGTTTTGATCAAAAAGTGTTTAAAAAATGTAGACTGTAGATGATCATTTGCAAAAAAATGTCTTTATTTTTTAGGTTGACATCAAATTTGTTGAGAGGTGCAGACTTTGGGAAACATCGGTAAGTTGACAAGACTTTTTTCTTCATGAAATTCTCTAGTAAGAATTGGTGTTTTAAATTTGGTAATATAGATAGTATGATATATAACCAGTGTTGGGCAAGTTACTTTTAAAAAGTAATTACAGTTACTAGTTACTTCTTCCAAAAAGTAACAAAATTAGTTACTCGGTTACAAATTATAAAAGTAACTAGTTGCTTCAGAAAGTAACTATTGCGTTACGTTCAAGTCAATTTTTAAATGCTCAAATGTGACCCCACCTCAACCCCTCTTTAACGGACCTTAAAATACATGTTCAATTATTTATGATAAATATGAATATTATAATGAAATGGACACTTGATACAATACATTATTAACAGAAACAATGTAGAAAAATCTAAGACTAATTCTAAGTTTTATCTTCTTGAAATTCTCTAGTAAGAATTGGCTTTTAAATTCGGTAATATAGATAGTATGATATATAACTGAATTACACAACCAAAGCCTAGAAGCATCGGTTATAGACAAGGTGGGAATTATGTAATTTTAGGGGCAAGGCCATTTGGCCTCCACCTTTTCTTTTTTTTTAGGGGCACCAAGGCCATATGACAGGGCACAAAGGCCATTCAGTACAATTCGATGGTTTTCCCATTCAGATTGATACCATAACATCCTAATTTGGAATAAGACATGGATTATGACTTTTTTAATAAAAAAAACAAAAAAAATTTAATGAGAGAGAGAGAGAGAGAGAGCCATTACATCCAGAAGGTATACACCCTCACACAACAATAGAAACAACGTAAATGCCAATAAAAGCATTCAGAAACATGATAATTCAGAAATTATGAGACATTTTTTTTTATGAAACATCTTCATGAAAATAAAATTGAAGTTGGCATTGTATCAATCTAGAAATGCACTGCAGCTAAAGCCACATGTCTGACCATGTTATACTTAAAATCTGAAGATGATATGTCTAAAACTCTGTATTTAGGTAAATGTTTTTCAAGATCATGTCATATGACTTTATTTATTAGCTTAGCAGAGCATCAATACACGACAATTTATGAGATTAAAACCATGTTTGTGCTCCAAACTTACTTTATAACTCAAGTCGAGTGTTCTAAATAACCTTCTGTGATCTGATTTGGCTTCAGATAAAAAAAAATCAGACAGAAAATATAATATTTTATGTATAATGCAATGATGATAAAGTCTATCGATTAGAATAACATTATACATATAATCTATTATTATGAAAATGCCTGACATGGCTCGAAGAACACAGGTAAGTCAAATATCATTGCAAAAATGTTTATTGTCTTCAAAACGACATTATCTGTATGTTACAGCGATCTGTTAGCTCTGTTTGTGGTCTGGACTCATAAATTTTGGGGCATCTCGCCCGGGGGGCGGGGTTACGTCCTGCTTCACATCTCTCATGCGGGTTCTCGTTGACCAGGGTCAGCGCGCACAATAGCGCACACAGGCAGGCACAGAACTAGCTAGCGAACCTAGGTCTAAACCTAAACCTAACCCTAACCCTAACCTAACCCTAATCCTAACCCTACCCGCCCCCCGGGCGAGATGCCCCAAAATTTATGAATCTCGTTTGTGGTCGGGGATTTGGGATTTCCTGCATTGTCGAACGCTCTTCTTCATGTGTTTCAAATATGGACTATAATGTTCAGTAGAGCGCCCTCAGGCTGCTGGTATGAATTGAAAACACAGCACATCAATATACAGCGCTCATATGATTACATCGACGCATTTGGCTATAAATTCAATAAAATATTATTCCTGTCAATTAGGGCTGTAACGATACACCAAACCCACGATTCGATTCGTATCACGATTTTTGACCCACGATTCGATTCGTATCGCGATTCTATCATGGGGGCGGGGCTTGAGGGGGCGGGGCTTGTGGTGAAAAAAAGAGATTTTGAGAGAAAAAAAAAATACCGGTATTTTTATTAAATAACATTAGGAAAAACCTGTATAATCTAAACACCAAAGAACAATAATAACTATGCAAATGATTAAACTATACTAGGCAGTGTAGGCTGCTGCTTTTGGGTTGTGTTCTGTACTCCAACTAAATTGATTTCGGGATGGTGCCGTAGGATATGCATCTGCATGTTGGACGTGTTGCCGGTCAATTGAGGATTAATTTAATGCACTTTCTGAGAACTTATATTTCAAGTTTTGGCTGCAAATTTCACGTCTATAATGCTGAAATTGCCAAATTTTAAATAATTTATCCTCAACTAGTTTTGTGGTGTAGGTCTACATATTTTATAATGTTAACTTCAAATAATACTAATAGTAATTTAAAGATGTGGTAGTTCTCAGGGCCTGAATTTCGTTTTGGAAAATGGGGGGGAAATCCCCCCTTAGATGATTCTCATGGGGGGGATTTTTTTTTGTTTGAGGGGGAGAAAGGGGGGGCATTTTTTCCAAACAAAATTATTACATTTATCTTGCCTAAATGTTTGCGCTCATTGCATTTTTACAATGGGGTAATATTGTTGTTAAGAATTTACACATCACAAGGAAGCTTGATTTAAATTGTTTAATTAAATTGAAAAAAGTAGCACAAATAAATACAATAGAATAAAGATACAAATAAAGACAATTAAAGAGAAAAGTTTTTGAATAGGTCTAACACTAGTATTCATATACAGATACTGAATAAAGTAATCAAATGGAAAATAACACTGGGTGGTATTTTAGTCCTGAATAAATTAAATACATAGGCTATTAATCCTGATTCCTTTAACTTAAAGCCATCTTTTGTTGTTTTGACAACAAAATTAATGACAGACACATATGGCTGCCGTCACTTTAAGAGCTAGTGCACGGATCCTGTGTTCATTATACTGGCATGCGTTTTATGCTTATTAAAGACAAAACCGACTATATTTAGAGTATAGCCTACTCACAAAGACCGAAATTGACAATTTTGCGTGTTAAAGCAATATAATCCGCGAAAAATAGTTACTGGCCAGCTGTTTTTGAGGCGGATTTTCTATGAATGTGCGCATAGAAAATAATCTCAGAGAGCGCGCGAGCACTGATTAGTTTAAAATCGCTTGAATGTTTAAACTGGTAAGACTTAAAAAGACTTCAGTCACGATGCACAGCTGGCCCGATTGTGCAAGTGAATATCCGTCATGTAGCGACCTTACAGTCTATGGTCCCGACTCCTAAACGCGAGTGTTTTATCGCCGCAGCGCTTGATGCTTGCCTTACACAACACATTATGAGAAGAGATAGAAGACGCGCGGCGCCGCTGAACACTCACGCTGTTTGTGAAATTGCGTCTGGAAGATAGTTGTTAAAAGAATGATTTGCGGGAATGATTAGAATTATGCGCAATACCTGCGCCGAAATTCGAGCCCTGGTTCAGGACAGGAAGGATAACTCTGGGAGTTGGAAGGGGTGTGATCGCGATTCTGCCTTCTCACATCGCGATACAGGATCGTGGACCTGAGTATCGCGATTTCGATTTTATATCGCGTATCGTTACAGCCCTACTGTCAATATAAATCTGATGTAAACTGAGAATATATCAATATTTTTCCAAATCTGCACACTTTTGAGCTAAAAGCCGTGAGGGACGTTGTTTTGTGAATCACTGTCATGACGACAACACAGGAGTTTTTTATGAATGGGAGCGTCTGACGCAAATTATTAGACATAACTGTCAATATAAATTTCTCAGAATACAATAGTGGTCAAATACTGAAACGTGAGTCTTATATCTTTTTAATGATATAGTTTGTCAAGGTAATAACATAAAATCTTATAGTAACTTTGATCTATTAAAAAAAAACGCTTCAGTGCGCCGATGCTTTCCTGAGTGTCGTTCTTCTGTTGGTGCTGACGTTACATGCTTCTTGCACTGCTGTTTTGAGGCATGAGATCATCGATGTGATTATAACACTGCACCTGCGCGAATCCACGAACTAATTGAAGTTAAGAGACTACTTGGGTGGCTCGCTGTAATTCAAAGCAAGCCCACTATGCCGCACTGGCGCTTTATACATGGAACTTGGACAGGGCCAGGGCACACAGACCACTGTGGCCGTACGATGATTTTTTTTTCACGGGGCATGAAGGCCAAAGTGTAGGGCAACGGCGGCCATGGCCGCGTGGCCGCGGTATAATTCCCACGCTGGTTATAGAGTTCATGTAAAGTTTTTTTTTTTTTTTCATTAGCTGGGTTTCCATCCAAACGTGAAGCAAATCTTTTTCGAATGAGCATCATTAAATGTTAATGTTTGACTAGGGGTGTGCCGGTTTCAGAATTGGTGATGACGTGAGTCAAATGTGACGGTTCGTAACATAACCGTCATGGGGGGGGGGTTTGAATAACTGTTCGTCTGTTATAGGACAACTTAGTTTGAATAAACAAGCAGACACTGATTAGCTACTGGCGTTTATTTAACATGAACAGCAAGACAACTAGAAGTGAATGTGCTTTCCATTAAATGTATCACACAGTAAACAAATCCTTAACAAACAAACGTTGCAATGAACGTGCTTTGTTTTAAATAAATCACACACAGTAAACAAACCTTAACGAAAAAACTTTGGAATGAACTTTGCAATTTAGACGCGCAAACTGCGTGCCGTTGCGGTGAGACGTGCATGCTCGGGCAGATTCGGCTTGAAGTCGTTCATCCTCGGATGCGGCGTCGCGCGCGCTGTTACAAAAAAGCCGTGCACACAGCCAAGCCAAATGGGGTCTTGCCGGTCTTGCGCACCGAACGCGTCATTTTTGCCGCGCGCACCTTCGCGCTCGTGCGGACAGGTCGAGTATAAACGAGGCTTTACTCCGTGTCAGCGCGCACTCTGATCGGTAAAGTACAGACAGACCTCTCCCGAATCATCTCCAGCAGTAGCAGCCTCCGTTTCCCTCTTAAGCTGATATTAGTATTTAAACATTCTTTATGATAAAATTTTTTTGTAAAACATATTTTAATAGCACGGTTTTGGCGGTTATAGTGTTCTAATGACGGTGTTCAACTATAACCGTCGGTCTCACGGTTATATAATAACCGTCACACCCCTATGTTTGACTATTCCTTTTAACTCTAATGAAAATAGTGTCAAAGTCAGTTAGAATAATCAAATGTAACAATTTATTATGTCAGGTAAATGTATCATGCCAATTACATAATAAATCCAAAGATAATCGATACAAAACATCAAATGCTCTGGAATAAAGAGAAGAGATGCAAACCCAACATTTAAAAAAAATACTTGAGGCTGAGAGTCTCGGACACTCTCAGTCTCACGGGCTGATCTGAGGACAGAAAGGCCCAGAATCCCTTGCTGCGTTCCATTAAATAGCCAGAACCTCTTTCACATGGAAACAATGGTAGTTTGCATTCAGAGTTGATCCTTTGTGTGCCAGTCAGTGTTGAGAAAGTTCACTTTCTACATGAACTAGTTCAAAGTTCAGTTCACAAATTTTAAAATGAACTAGTTCATAGTTCTTTTTTTCCATATGTTGCTGGGAGCTATTTTTTTTTGTTAAATAATTGCCACCACAGCCCATATAAAACAACAGTCGAACGTACTGTCGGCTATTACTGCCTGATGAACGTTACTGTGAACTCGTTCATTCTGGTGTCTGTGAACGCACACTCTCTGTTTAACTTGGGGTGCCAGATCTCTACAGAGCCTTCCAGGCGAAAACCCGGCTAAAACACACCGTAAACAGGCCTTATACAGCAATTATTTGATCGGCGGGCAAAGTTTGCACAGAAATGTACGATTTTGCCATCCTCACCGACCTTGTCATAAAACTTGTTTAAATAATCATACGACGCCTCCCCGCTGCTTTTTCGACTACATGCTGCTTTTTGTTTTGACGACGCATGCGGCGGTGCGACACTGGTGTTGCCAGATTGGGTGTTTTTTTCGCTACATATTAAGGCCTGTTTACGGTGTGTTTTAGCCGGGTTTTCGCCTGGAAGGCTCTGTAGAGATCTGGCACCCCAAGTTAAACAGAGAGTGTGCGTTCACAGACACCAGAATGAACGAGTTCACAGTAACGTTCATCAGGCAGTAATAGCCGACAGTACGTTCAGTTCATGTTCGCCCAAAATATGAACGTGTTCAGGCACAACACTGGTGCCAGTTATCTCTAAACTCTTAAAAACCATATTACCTTTTGTTTTACTTATTTGGAAATGAGACATTTGTACCAGTCACACTGAGACATTTCGAATGATGCTAAATATGTATACTACTCTGATAATTATTCACATTAAACCATATAGATTCTTGTGTGAGTTTTAGGTGTGCCTGAGAGAGAATGAAATGTAGATAAGGTGAGACTTTGTCTCAGGGGAAGAGGGGGAAGTCAATTGTTAATTTCCAGCGAGGTCCTTTGTCTCATAGACCAGTGGTCAGATCTCTTCAACCAGTTGTTCCAGTCTTACAGTAGTGATGTGTGTCGTTCGACTCAATGAGCGACTGCTTTAAGAGAATGGTGAGAGTCGGTTCCCGTCTGAGAGCTGTTTTCGTATGTTAATACAAGTAAGAAAAATATGATTATCCTTTCGCTACACTGCTCAGCCACACGACAAGTAGTCACTAGCTTAATGTTATTTTGATGTGTTTTCATCCTTAATATCAGGTCAGAAGACAAGAGTAGTAACACAAGCAAACAAAGTAGCATTTTAATAACGGACAACAAAGACAGAACGTAGAATTTGTAAAATGAAACTTATCTTATCGAGCAGGGACGACCTTTAACAACCTTATAAATGTGTTTTAAGTGTGATGTGCTTACAATGGTTTTATTTTGAATATAAATCAAAATAATTTGGCAAATGCGTTTCCATCTCCCAATATTCGCATTAATCCTTTTTCGCACAAGTCAAAAACACCAAGCGAGTGTGTGAACATTTTTGCGACTTAAGGGATTTTTTTCTCATTTGCCGTTTCCATCACGTTTCTGATGCGAGGCTTTAAAATGTGCATAAAAACAGGGTGATGGAAACATAGCTAATGCTTTCATCTGTCATTTCCCTCACGCGAATGTTTTGTCACTCTCTTTTCTTTAGCCTGAGTTTGAGGAAGAGGGCACTACATTGCTGAAAATGCAAAAGCCTCCAACTTGCGACCATTTCATTCGGTTGTATGAGCGTTTCATCTTGCAAGACCAAACCATCCTGGTAATGGAACCTCTTCCTGGGTATGTGAGCTTGAGGGAGTTCATGAGAAGAAACTGCGGGTGCCTGACTGAAGAGACAGCGAACCACATCATGAGCCAAGCCTATGTTGCAGGGCGTCACTGCTTGGAAAATGATCTTCTTTACCCAGTACTCAAGAGATTGATACTGATCAACCAAAAAACCCTGCAGATAAAATATGCACACCTTGCCGAAAAAGACTTCGAAAGTGAGTTGGCTTTTTGAACACAGATCATTGATGACTGGTGATGTTTTACTAAACACTGGAAATGTATTGCTTGCAGGAATTGCAGAAACGGATGAGGAATTGGGCTGCGAATTCATGACTCTATGGATAATGGAACAACACAACAAAGAGCTCTTGGGTGAGATCGAGGACGAAGTGAAATTGCATGTGCCTGATGCAAAAACTTTCTTAACTACAGAGAACATGGCAGATCTTCCCATGGTTCAGATTTGTAGAGAGAATGAAGAATCGTGAAGCCAAAAAAGTAAGAAAAAGAGATTTTTTTGTTTCAGGCCTTTAAATCAAAAAGACATTATTTGAGATAGAACAGACTCAGACCTGCCAACCTGTTCGCATTTTGACCTAAAAGTGCGCTGGTATGATTTGTCACTCTAAACTACGCAAAAACCTGGAGCAAGTGCTGTTCTCAAATCAAGCAACAGCAGAAGAAGAGTTCGGCCGATCATAGCGCTGGCTCATTCCCCAAATAGCAAGCCTGGATGATTGACAAAAGCGTAAGGCTTGTGATTGAAAAGAGACAGCAATACAGAATCCCGCTCGATCCCCCTTTCACTCCCGCCGCCTGACGGATGTCTTCAGCGAGGACCGTACAGTCGTCTCGCTGCGTCCGACTCCTCACGGGAAACAGGCTGGGGGAGATGTGTTGAAATATTGAGTTGAGTTAACTTAATCCTCTGCGTGATCGCATGGATCGACTCTAAAAATGCGCTCTGTCATTCATAGTCACTCTGAACAATATAATCTAAATAAACTTGAAATCGCTATGTCTTTATGAAAGTGCTCTGACTTGTGGATGACTGACAACTGCGAGTCTGGAGGAACAAGCATTTATTCATTCTCAGTGTTGAGAAATGTAGCATGAAGAATGTGTAATGTTATTGTGTTAAAAATAACTAAAGTACCTCATTATAAGGATGAAAACTAGCGTGTTAATTACTTATGGATTTAAAAGTACCATTGTCTCAGTGCTGCGCGAACTCCGCCACAAACGCGCACACAGAGAGAGAAGACGGGCTACTGTAAGTCTACTTTTTGTTCTTGCTTGTGTTTTGTTTTCTGTCAAAATATCAGAGAGCATCATATCAAGTAGGCCTATATAATGAGGGGTTTTGTTGAAGGTATTTTAACGATTTTTAAAAATGGATAATGATGGATAATACAAAACCCCTCATTATATAGGCCTACTTGATATTCTTTTCAGAATTGGTGATTCGTTTCGCTACTATTGGTCCTGTCTATGTTCACCAGTTTTCTATACATGTTTGTATTGGCTAACGTTTATTCAGCTAATGTGTGTCCTGTTTATAATGTGTAAGACGGCACAAATATAAAACCTTTTTTGTGGGACTTAGTGTCATATTTGGATATTGGAAGAATAAATTAAGTGGCCTATTTTAAATGAATCACATGTACACACAATGTTCTTATGTTTTTGTTTTTTTACTGTTTTCTATGAGTTTCTTAATTTTAGACTTGACCAGCACACATTATGCAAATCAATATTAATCATGAATAAAAATAGTTTTGAGCTGTATTGAAACTTTAAACTTTCACTTTATTATAATGTAGCCCATTCAGTGCGGTTCAAAACCCGTTAGAAGTCAAAACTAGAATAATGAAGATAGGCGTGTGTTTGTGTTTGTCTTGCATTCTCAAACCTGTGAGAATATATGAGCCCACCCAAACCTCGTGTCCCGTCCCACTGATGGTACTCACAAAAGGGTCGAGGTTGGCAGGTCTGCAGACTAATAAATAACTAGATTTGTTTAATAGATGAAATTACTGTCACACAACAGCCAGTTCTTCAGTCGAGCAGTTTTAATGATTCTTCATATTTTAAACAATATTTAACTGTGTTACTGTGGCAAGCAGGACGAGGCCGAGATGAGCACCAGTCTCGAGTGTCTCACGGAGGATGAAAGCAGGAGCGACGACACTGAAGAACAGGAGGACCAGGCCTGGACATTTGCATTACATTGAATCATTTTGCAGAAGCTTCATGGTTGATGGAGTCTCCGCCGTGGGCCGTGGGCCGGAGCTGCTGCCGTCCGCTGGATGGGGAGGAGCAGTGAATGAGGAACTCCTGCCGGCTGCCGAACCCGCAGAAGCCGCCGCTGTCCCCCAGGAGTGACGTCACAGGCGGGGAGCGTGTGTGAGAGCAGGTCAGTCCAGCAATCATCAGAGTTTATGCAAACACTGGGACTGGGACTGCCCTCGCTCAGCAGCCCCAGCGACACGCACTTTAAGGGGCATACATTTCTGAAAAGCAGCCACCTGTTTCTTCTCTTCCTGGAACCTCTCCATGACAGAAAGAAGAGCGTCACCAAAGAGGCCCATAGGCGAAACTGGAGCATTTAAAAGGAGAGTCTTATCTTTTTCCTTCATAGAGGTCTGACTCAACCACAAGTGTCTCTCTGTGGCCACCATGGCTGCCATAGACCGGCCGATAGAATTAGCTGTCTCCCTGGTGGCCCGGAGAGTGAGATCAGCAGTCTGCCTGAGCTCATAAATCATTTCAACAAATTTCCCCCCCTTCACACGCATTCTTAAGCAGGTCAGCCTGATAAGCCTGCATAATGGCCATAGTGTGTAGACATGCAGCCGCCTAACCCGCCACCAAGTAAGCCTTACCCACTAACACAGAAGTATTTTATATTTTTTTTAGTGGTTTAGCGGGCAGAGCCGGTGCTTTAAGTGAAGATGATGAAGCTGGAGAGAGATAGCTCGCGAGCCTCTCCTCTGCCTCCGGCATCGTCACATAACCAGCAAATTTAGCACCAACAATGTTACCAAAAGCATTGGACTGATTTGTGTAAATTCTGCTTGAAACCGGTCTAACCCAGGTCTTTGAAACCTTAGCATGAAAATCTGGGAAGAACGGTAAGCACCGGCGAGAAGGTTGAGGTCGTGCAGACAGAAATCTATCATCTAGTTCAGTGTTTCTCAACCAGTGGGTTGCGACCCACTAGTGGGTCGTTGTTCGTTCTATAGGGGGTCGCGAGACTTTCTCTGTGTTAACCGGCACAGCCAATAAGTGGGGTTCACAAAAGGCTCATTGCAACAGGCTACGTTTACATGCAACCAAATCCAAATAATCCGTTAGTAAACGCATTGACGGTTCAATCGGACTAAAAAGCCTTCATGTAAACACCTTAATCGATCCGATTGAGCTCGATCCGAATAAAATTTCAATTCGATTGAAAGGGGTGGTTTATTCCTTTTCTAATCCAACTGCGAGGACATAAACGCTTGATCGGATTGAAAACCGAAACTAAAGGACTGCGCATAGCCTAATGATGTATGACGCGCTGAACAAGCTGTTCTTCCTTTTGAGTAAAGTGTCGTATAAATGAGCGTAGCCTACCATCATTCTAAAATTCTCCTTTCACTCAGCGTCTGTGAAGTGGAGCAGGACAACATCCCACCAGTCCTTGTTTCAGACTCTCATTCACAGACGACTGGTTTTGGGTGCTGGGCATTTTTTCTGCGTGATAAATAAGCAGCACGGGCACGGCACAACGGTTCATATGCTCATTGTCACCAAATTATGACCAGCAATGGATAAATATTAAGTCTGCTGTTTAAAACAAATAAAGAACCAATGTAAGAGAATAGTAGTATGCGCAAACAGCGGGAAACTCTGTTCGTGCAGTGTGCGCATGTCAAAAACATATAATTCGATTTGAATCTTGTGACATATAAAGATTTAAAGACGCACATTAACCCTAGCGTTCAAGTAAACACTACATTCAGATTCATCAATCGAAATTAATTCAGTCCGATTGAAACAAAAGTTATGCATGGAAACGTAGCCGATCCTCCGACGAATCATAGGCTATTTTCATTGCTAAGATTCAAACCAGAAATGAATATCCACAACTCGCAGATTGTGCAACGAAGTTTCTCTTCCCATTTAGCACTACTACCGTAAAATTTCAAATAATAGCCGAGTCCCGAATAGACGCCTGTCTCTTTTACACGCCTGGTGTGGCGACAGGTTTGGGTAAATAAAGGCCGGTCTCAAATAGAAGCCGGGTCTGTTTTTTAGTTTCGGGTTGTATTTAATCTTCTAAAACCCGTCAGAGCGTCCACTTGCTGCGCTTGACAGTGCATAACGAGCAGAGAGAGAGAGAGAGAGAGAGAGAGAGAGAGAGAGAGCGCCCCGGCCGCGCGCGCGCACTCACGTCTTCAAACAACACGAGCGCTGTCTTGCTCTCTATCCCTCGCGCATATTAATCAAAATCAATTGACACGATAGTAAAAGGTTGGAAGACCGCAGTTTCACGTGGAGCATTTGGAGATTTTTAGAGATTAGAGACTCTAGGAACAACATCTCAATGAACAACATCTCAACACTAAATTAAAGGCCTGTCTCATATAGACGCCTGTCTCAAATACAAGCCATTGCAGTTCGACGATTTGGGAAAATAAAAGCCCGGGCTATTATTTAAAGTTTTATGGTATCTTTGTCAGTCGGGATTTTCAACAGTGACTGCAACGAAAACAAAAAGCAGGAATAGGCTGACAAGTTTGTGTGCGACACTACGAGTCACACTTTTCCAAATTCCACCAAGTCTGGATATGATCAGAGCGGCAGTCTCAAGGCTATCACATTAACGTGAGTAAAAAAATCTGTTTGCCTCATAGTCTGCCTAATTATTGAAAATGTTTGTGTGTTTTCGTGATGAT